CTCTGCTAGGCTCGAAACAGGTAGTGGTGGCTATACGCTCCCATAAGGCCTCTTGGTGACTGTAGTGTCGCGAATGAATATCCCTCAAACGGCGACAATTATTCTTGTGGTATTTGGGCAACGAAGCCCTACTAGACCGGAATATGTGCAAGTTGTGTATGCCGGATGTGAGCCAGTGCTCATTCTGGGGTCATCGCTGCCCTGTTTCGGCAGATACCGCGGTCGGCTTCCCTTTCCCTGCTGGTCTGTCCTGCTTACTGTTCTCTTGGACGCGGTAAACTGCGGGATATCTTTGGACGAGCCTTGAGGACGCTGAATTACCCCTCGCCACCATGCTGCCTCGCTTTGGAGAATATATTGACCTCAGTTCCCTGAAGGAAGGTTCTAGACAGTCCTGAGGTGGCCGGAGCCTGTAGCGCTTTAGTTTCAAGGAGCAAGTATGTTGTCTGCATTAGCTACGGGTACATTTAAATTACTGACCACCGGTGTTTTTAGTTTCCCTCCGCCATCTTACATCACGTCGAATGTATCTCCGTGAACATGATTCATAAGGCTTGTCCCTGTGAAACCACGAACACATCGTCATGCCCGACATGTCGGCCGGCGCCTACTACACCTCTTCCATGGCCGAACTGCTTCCACCCAACCCAGCTGCGATATGCCACATTCGATAGGACGTCACTATCGGCGAGACCCCTAAATATCAGCTAAATGGCCGAGAGTATTTTTCTTGAGCCAAGGATATGGTAGGGAGGACGATGATCGCAGGGTAATCAACAAGACCCTCCATCTGTACCTGACGCTGCTGGCGGCGATGACGATCAGCTGAACGGATACCGAACATCTGCAGGTACCTTACCTTCGCTTCTAAGGTCGATGTAAATTTCCAGGATGGTCGAATGGCAAGTGAAGACCGATGAAACCAGCTATGAGAACGTTGACAGCATGAACTTAGTGCTCTACAGGAGAGCTACTTTTCTCTGACGACTGCTTCCGAAGGCATCATTCTGCCTCTTCGTGTATCCTCTTTTTTAGCGGACCCACACGGGGAGACAAGGACATTTCCGACCCACTCTGGACTCTCAACACATGGAGTCAGGCACATACATTAACGATCCACAGGACTTCTTTCGTAGAAGTTAATGCAATGAAATGGTATGTCAGACATTGGTCGCCTACTCCGACCATTCGACTTCCATAGAATCGAAGCAGGGCATGATGAACGTGCCAAAGCAAAAAACCGAGCTGACATTGAACGGTCACGGCAAAAGGACAATGAACTCCGCTCTCTCCTCCGGCCTAACCATGGCTCCGCCGAGACGGAAATGGACTCGTTTGCTGCCATATATACGTCTGGTCGACGATATCCTAGTGTTGCTTGAGACTCATCGCACCTGTCGACCTGTAGGACACCACGGTTTAATGTGGATTCCGATTTTGCGAGGTGAATAAGTTGATCAGTAGATATAGGCGGAGTGTCAGAATAGTGGACCTTTCATTATAATGAAATTATGATCTTTCTACTCCTACAAATTTAACGGTCTTCAGATGTCGAGGTTCGTTGTAGGTGCGTCAGCTTCGGTCTTCGGTATATTAACCACTGAGCATTGTTATTCGAACGTGAACATTGGCTGCCGCTGTCAAATCGCCTGACGAGCTTCCGCAGTCTCAATCTCTTCAACTGTCCTAAGCAAATTTGATGGACGCTAGTTTACTGAAGGGTCTTAAACGCTCAATTACCTTGGCATTTGTCCCTAGGCCGGGCGCATGCTCCCCTCTGCCCCCTTCTATATTAAACAGCGGTAGTTCCTGATTTTATCTTAGAAAGAACGCCAAGATTTATACAATTTCCACAGCGGTCATCTTCCCCACACTGGTCGATTTCAAGTCACGATTTTACTCAGGGTTTTCGTGGAGACTTTGAAGCTTTATTAGACTGCGAGTGTTACCATTTGATAGGCCACTCGCATGAATCGAAGTTCACGGTCTCAAAACTTTTAAGCGGGGGGATAAATGGGCTCAAGCTGACTCACTCCAGGTCACTTGCTTCTCGCTGAACGGGCATACCAATGGAACCGTCGAAAGGTCCAAGGAAAAGGCTCTACCTGAGGTTTGGGATCAGTGGTCACGTCGAATTCACTCAATCTTATGCCGTCAGTCTCCACAACGCTGTATCAGTGGGGGCGGTGTAGTTCCACCGTTGTTTCTACCTTTAGACTATCGCGGCTGACCCCAGAAAGATTCTGTCACTGTTCCAGATGGCTCCCCGAAAAATGAAACGTCTTCCGACTGCGGTTCGTAGATCTTACTCTTAACACGCGCCGCAAGGCTTGCTATCTGAACCTTTGTAGCTTCTTATCAAGGGTCGCAAGTTCCAGCGTCCTTTCTCTCAGGTGGATAGTTCTACGGTGGTGATGGCGACGGGAATGAGGTCGTTCTTTTATATACATTCGCCACGCAAGTGATAAGTCGCATGCGTTTGTCTTTCTTTCTCAGGGTTGCAGTTCGTTGCGGCAGGGAACGGCTTGAAAAAGGTAGGACTTCGCTTGTTCTCTGGAGGAATTATATCTCACGATGTCCTGTAGAATCGAAGAGGGGGGGGCAACGTGCCCGAGGGCATGCTGTGATTGAAAGATGGGTTGACTCGACGGGCCTGAGCTACAGTCTCACATCTTTTGTGATCAACCTTAAAAAAATTATCTTCCTGACGTCCGGTTCAGCATCCTTAAACATGAATTTCAGGCATGCCAGGTCTTAGAGAGACACGACACCAGAACGAGGTCCAGTTTTTTGTTATACGTTGGCCGCTGACGCTTCTAGAGTCTTATCTTGAACAATTGCTGAGCAGCAGCACAAATGAAGACTTCCCACTATGTCAGGCGACACCTTAGTAGTCCTTATGGTCGACTTCTTTCCTCTAAAGGATGCAAGCTAACAGCGTCCGTCTTCAATATCTTCCTTCAAAGCCTCTAATATTAGACGTTCTCGTATTTCGCGTTCCAAAATTTAGATCCCGCGAGTAGCGTTTCAATTCTCAGACCTTTCAAATCAGATCGCGATTTGCCCTGCCCGGCATGATCCCTCAGTGTAGAAGAAGGTGCTCGTTTTCATCCTCGAAAGGCAAGTTGTCAAAGGTCGGGTATAGAACTTTGATGCGCTTGCCTATGAGCTCCGATGCCGCCGTGACGCGGCTCTTCCTCTTCTGTACGTTACGCTATCGGCGCGCCAGTTTCTTATTGTACAAACCGATTATTACTAGAGCGTGTTTAGTTCAAGTTCGTCCCCGATGAATTGCGCCACCAGAGATGCATACAAATGGTGGTCTAATCAAACATAGATGTTCTCGCGGGCCGCGCTTCCAGTTCTAAAATTCTCTCGGGCCTAGAATTGGAAGGACCATTTAGAGCGAGCGAGACACCTAACGGCTATTAATACCCAGCTGCAGCTCTCAAGGAACAGTCGTTATGTTGACAGGGGCGATCCCCTGTAATCGTGTTCTCTTGACGGAGGGATCTTATACGAACACACGTTGGGCGACTCTTTAGCGTTTCACATTCAACAAAGCTCGCAGGTCGCGGGGCTTTTAAATCATAGAAGACTGAATATGATCCTTGTATTGTGTTCCAAGTATGTTCCGTGAAGAGTTAGGGTTTGGAACCAGATACCGGAAACGCTCCATCTCCGAGGCGGGAACCAAACATCAGCTTCCACTCATAGCGAACGAATAGATTTGATGAAACAAGTAGCAACGGTACACCCATCAAGGGCTTAGGGCGAAGAATTAGGAAACTGGAGTGGTACCCCAGAATGATCCGACCTTCCCACAAACTCCCAAGTGGGAGTTGGCTTAGGGAAGTACATGCGAAGACGAGATCCGGTTTCAGAATACAAATCTGCGGTAGATGTACGCTTACTGACAGGAAGTACGAGCCTATAGAATGGCAACGGTCATCATCATAAGGGAAAACGTGCGGAATTAAAGACAGACGGCTATCCGGGAGCGGCGGGAGAGGAGCAGGGATATAGTTGGCCTTGTGACAGAGAAAGCATCACATCCGGAGCGACAGAACACCAAGGGTCATGGTGTGTGACTGGATGAATATCGGTAGAGCACGCACAGTTCGCTGCTTCGAGAGGCTCCGCATGCAAAATGGAAGCGGGAGAAATACCAAACTTTCTCATTGCTACGGGGCGAGAGGATGGTGTGTCGGATACATTCGTTAGGGTTATATGAACGGGTTACTTGACGGAAATGATGAGCCGTTGCTCTTGAGAAACGACGCACGAGCGTGAGGAATGATTGTGGCTTGACGATGAGAAAGCCATTACGAGAATTTTTTTGATAGCACATAAATCCGAGACCGTTCGAGGAGATAGCCGCCTCGCGGGTATTACCCATTGGACGGTGTGAGTGAGAAATGGAAGACGAGGGCCTCATCGCCGCCATGGCGGTCCCGTTTCATTTAACTCGAGTCGCGACGGGTATTTGCGACCCGATCGTTATAGTGGGCATCCATCAGAAAGTCTGAGATACCATTGTGGGGTCTGTGCCAAGATTGTGGAACAGAAATCATCCAAGGAGATACGGGCGCGGAAAGAAGAGACGGAGACCACTCGAAAGCATATTCGCGGAGTCGAAATGTTAATGACCCCATGGGCCATGGCCCGGGTTAGTGATCTAGGGATGGGTTGCTGGTCCTGAATGACGTATAGCTCTAAGAGATTGGAATTTGTAGTTTGAAAAAGCATAAGTATGCCGAAAGATCTGTGAGCCGCGGGGGCGCTACAGCCTACCGGCGGGAAGTTCCAGGCCTAGGTTACCGCTGACTATCCAGGGAGGATATATTGGCGTGGGAAATGACTTTCGCCAGATGCGAGAAACGAAGAGGTCATGGTTTTACGGATTCGAATTGATGATGGTGGTTTGAGGTATGTAGCGGGATTGATAACCCTGAACCACTAGTACTAATCTAGAGCATAGTCGCTGCAGAAATTGCAGGTCTCTGATAGTATATCGGTTAGTACACGCGCCTGTCATTGGTACGCGCGAAAGCTGGGTTCGACTCCCAGTCAGAGAGCTCGGACAGGTACGAGTGTATCTTTTTGATTTCAATCACCTGGATCCATTTTTTCACGCTACACTCACGCTAATAGCTATGAGCTGAGCGTTGAGCAAATAGTTCGTTGTCATTATTTTATTTCACTCATTTATCTAGTCGTGCTCCTAGTTCTAAGGTTACGGTATTTGAAGGACGTCATCGCCTTCATACTAAGCGCTTGTTGTTGACAGCAACAATAGCTGACAATCTCATTCTTGCGCAGGGACGATATGTCGAAGTCCTGAAAAGAGTCGGACATGGCCGAAGGATAGAAGACGAGCGCCGCTGAGTTAGATCAGGTGGGAGAGATTTGGATGTCACATCACAAAGGGGAAAGGCCTGAGAGCTGATGGATTGAAGGTCGTGCGAGTTTGCAAGTCTGGGCAGACGCAGAGTCGCGGTGATACTTACTTACGTAGGGTGACAGATTGCAAGGCGGCGATCAAGAACAAAGAAAACTACCCTTTTTCGGGGAGCTTCGGCGCATGGATGTATGCGAAAGTACGAAAAGCAGTGTGTATAAGAAGCTAATTTGCCAGATAACGTCAGGAAGAAACCGGAAGTGACATGATTTTATCAGAAAGTTGTAAAGAAAAGGGCTGGATAAGGACGGGAAAAGAAGGAAAAATAGGACAGATATAGGTGAACGATCGGGGATAAACACGGCTACATCCGGACTCACTTTTCCTGAACATCGGAGATTAGTTTCCCACCTAGTTTATATAAACTACACTCGCAATGAATCCGGCGTGCTGTTCGACCTTGTCCGTTCTCTGCCATGCCCTCGCTCCTCTCCCTACCCGTAGAGACCATCGACCTCATCGCATTCTACTTTGCCTGTCCGACGAGGGACGGCCTTCCCAGCTCGCTCTTGCCATTCATTCTCACCTGCCGCTACATTGGCTTTTACCTACGTGAATCGAATGCCGTGTTCCGCCAGATCTTCACCTTCAAGTTCAGCTACGGTGCTGTCGGCCGCCGTGCATTCGAGCTCACATCGCAGGACCTGAGGCACCAGCTGTGCTGGTATCGCAAGACGCTCCAGTTCATCCTCGAGCGGCGGGGGCTGGACGGGGAGCGCGAGCTGAGGAACACGTACGACGTCGATGTCTCCGACGTGCTCTGGACAGTTTACTTTATGTGCCTCGACGACGACGGCTACAATATGCGGCAGCTGACCGCTGTTGGCGCGTACGAGTGGATCCACGACTTTGTGACCCTGCGCTTATATGACGGAGCAAGCCAGACCGGCGGCTGGCCGCTCGACAACTATGTGAATGCGCTGGCCTTGTGGATTTTCTGGAGACTTTCTACGAAGGGTACGCCGTCGTTCTGTTTTCGTTGACCCCATGTTTGAGCTTATCCGTAGTGCGCTTGCTTTCCGAAACAGAAGAAACGTCCGAACGTATCATTAAATTGATTTTACCTTTCGTTACGGTCCCTTTTCGGTATGCATCTGTCTTTGCACCGCCGAACCACTTTGTCTTGCCCCTCCGATCCCATGCCTATAATTTCTCTAATCTATCTTCACGGATACCCTTCCGTACTCGCTCCGCCCATTTCCTCTCGGTGCCTACACCCCACGGCCCTTATCCAGTGTACCTGTCGCCTTCTCGTGTCTGGTCACAGGTCCATTTCTCACGGCGTATCTCCCTAACGTGCCCCCTTGTCACTACCGCTGCCAAGCTCCTCTTCTTCTCACGCAGGGAGATGAATCCATACGGCATGAACTACCACCTTCCTAGGAACAGGTCAGAGGCTATAGCCAACGGCCTAGGTGGCCTGACGCAGGAGGACGTCCATGAGATGAACCTGCATCGTCTCGGCGGCCCTGACGGCAAGTATGGGGGCACCAAGCTTCCGGCAGTGGCTCCAGATTACTCGGATGAGGTGTCAGACAGAAGTAAAGCTTACGATTCGGAGTGGTACAGATTACGGCTCTGCACTAATGCGTGGGCTAATGGTCTCGGGGACGATGATGAGATCTGGCGGCGGGCCAATTTGGGTAAAAGGATGAGAGTCAAGACTGCGGACCATGAGGTACGCGAGCTCAGATTTCGTCACGCTGAGATGTACGTCTTGGGACTGCTTACCGGTCTGTGGGCCGGGCGTATGTTTGTAGGTTATCTCCCCAGTTGTCCTAGACCATTCTCATTGAGTTCACCGCTCCAGATTCCTGGTGAACATCAGCTCCTGCAGCTCTTGATCCCAAATCAAAATGATGGTCCCACTCAAAATGACAACCCGATACCGTTACCCCAGGGATTCAGCGAAGAATATCTCGGGCTCATAAACGTGCCTGTGTATATGCGTCTACGGGAGCATGTATCTTATGCGGGCGGTGATATTATTCCTACTGGTGCAAAGGGATCGGTACCTTCACGCTACGAGGATGCTGACGACGAGGACGAGGCGGATGAAGAAGATATGGACGAGGACGGCGTGGATAGCCTGCATGATGTGGAAATGGCTAGTGAGGGCGAGTTGGAGGACGATGATGTGCACTTACCCGAGGACGTACCCGAGATCGACCGGCAACATCTCCTTGACGAGTTCGATCAAGGCATGCGCAACGCCTATTTCCCCCCAGATGTTGCCTTCCAAGAAACTATTGACGGACACGGTATAAAAGTGACAGCTCGGGGGCAGGAATACGTGTACGAGAATTGGAATGGAAGCGAGTCGACGACAAAGAAAAAAGGGAGGTTCCATGACCGAGACACCTGCGTCGGTTGTGCGATGCGGGAGAAGCAGGAGAGGAAACGACGGGACGCGGGTGCTGATGAGGTACCAGACGATGGGGACGCGCCTTTGGACAGTGTCCCTCTTCCACCCTGTACCGGTGTGCAGGATGTGATTATTACGGGAAAGACTGACGATAGGCATGGACAAGCGTGGAATCATTACACGTATTACGGTCGAGTCAGGCGGTGGGATGGGATGATTGGCATTCTTAGGATTGCAGTGAGCTCTATTCTATTTTCCATTTCCTGGGATCTCATACCGCGTGTTTCTCTCGCAGCGCGACCGCCGCTTGGGTAGCCTGTTCTTCTTTGGATATATTGTCGATGGGAAGAATTTCGTTGGGAACTGGAGGATAACGCACGAAGACCCGGGGATGCCGGCTTGGGCGGGTCCGTTCGTACTCTCGAAGGTGACGGAGGGTAACGCTTGATTATGACACTAACTAGCTACGCATTCATTTTGGTGATATCTTGGAAACTGTACGTATACGCGTGTATTTTGGACCGGATCGGAGGCTGTATTGCATTGCATCTAACTATCTTATTTAATAGTCACATTCTGTATCATACGTACCATACGCATATTTCGTGCGCATATTTAATGGAGATCTAGGGGTACAGATGCAGATGCCATAGAGATCGCTAATCCCCCTCATCGCTCATATTCTTAGCATGAACGCGGCGACCTCGTCGACGGCGAACACAAGTCGAATGTATTGTAAGATCTCTATCCTTTCCTTTACGGAGATACGATGCTGTGGCGGTGGCGCAGAATGGGATCCGGAATCAACCTCAGGCAAAATGGAAGACGGAAGAGTTATGTATAGCTTCATGAAAGTACGGGAGGAGAGCGGCGAGTTGTAAACGTATTCAAGACGTGAAACAGAGGACATGAGCCCAACCACGCACGTTCCCACTATACTCACCATCATACGTATGGATGGATGCCGAAACTTCCCCGCCAGATCCCGACTTACTAGGCGTCGCTGAGCACGAAATTCTTTTCGCTTGGTCCCTCTATGTATAAAAGAGTTTTCGCAAAGAACTGAATAGCTCGTAAAGAGAACAGTGATCCGGTCGCGGACGTAAGACTGTATGCAGTGAGCGCCACACAGGGCCTGCAGGGTGACGCGGCATCGTGAAAGCAAACGAAGGACAGAACTTAAAGTAAGGTTTTAAACAGTAACGCTGGGTACTGACGTCAGAGTCACGTGACTCGCGACAGTCAGCCACCGTGACACTGACAGTCACAGCGACGTCAAACTGTACAGTTGGTCAGGTTTTTCCCAGGACACCCTATAACCAGCACCGTGAGTTGGGGACCGTAATTTTCTATCTCGTCCGTCCGCCTGACTTGGGTCTTTCTTCCAGATGCAGATTTTCGTCAAGACCCTCACGGGTAAGACGATTACCCTCGAGGTCGAATCCTCGGACACCATCGACAATGTCAAGGCCAAGATTCAGGACAAGGAAGGGTAAGGTTGTATGTTGGGGAGGGATGCTGATGCTGATGCTTGGTACTTCTAGCATTCCTCCTGACCAGCAGCGTCTTATCTTCGCCGGCAAACAGCTCGAGGACGGCCGTACCCTGAGTGACTACAACATCCAGAAAGAGTCGACTCTCCACTTGGTCCTCCGGTCTGTTTATTTTCCAGCTATACGCAGATCGGTTGTATTGATGAGTAGTGCTTTACAGTCTCCGTGGCGGAATCATTGAGCCTTCGCTCAAGGTCTTGGCCTCAAAATACAACTGCGACAAGCAGATTTGCCGAAAGTGCTACGCACGGCTGCCTCCTCGTGCGACTAACTGCAGGAAGCGTTCTTGTGGTCACTCGTCGCAGCTCCGCCCGTGAGTGTGCTTGGTGTAATTTCCTTAATGTGGTGCTGATTTTGTGTCGTGTGTTCAGCAAGAAGAAGCTGAAGTAGTCTATTTGCTTTGTGGTGGAGATCAGAGCATGCAGAGGGTCATTGGGAATATGCTTTCGCAGAATTATATGCATATGTCGTCTGTATGTCATTGTCTCGCTGAACACGCGCGTTTATTTCCTGGTGTGAAAGTGTGAAGGTCAAGATGTTAACTGCTAATCGCAACATTGTCAGGGCGGGCTGCGTGGTACGTATGTCTGTTATACGGTTCTATGTGTACTAATTATGTGTACTAATTTTGTGTTCAGGATTATCAAGCTGTGCAACTGGAAGTCCGACGATAAATGTACTCAGTGAGAAGTAGGGTCT